ATTTAATTCAATATAAACATTCATATGAAACAAATAATGATATAAATGATAACCAACGGTCATAATACGATAATTAATGCCCAACTTAGCCTACTTGCTTTGGAAACGTAAATGAATGTAAATGACAATGATTCCTCTGTATAAAACTGTGTTATTATTCCTATTCCTATTTCCTATCAAGTTTTTATATTCAAAATTCACTGCCTCTCATGTATTAACACTAACACTAAGTATTGTAAGCAGATTATAATTTTTCCGCTGAAGGGAGCAACATTTTCAATATTTGTTCGCAGACAGCATCCCACTCCTCTGGTAAACGGAATCTTGCTTCCCACCACCGGTGACTAACACTGTTAAGTTGGTGGTCGTCCTCACTAATCTCAAAATATGTGGCGGATTGTCATGAATGGCGAACACTGATTGGTCAAATTTAAAATTTGTTGTTGTAAGACAATTGACGACAGCGAAATAACAAACATTTCTTGCAAATCAGCAAATATATTGTGTTTTTCCTCGGTTTTTGCAAGATTTTGCAAATTTCAAAACCTTTTTGGGAGCCAAAAACCGTCTGAAAACGTCTAAAAGAATGGAACAAAGTCACCGGCGTTAATGAAGGTAAGTTTGTTTTTAATTTGATGTATTGTTTGCTTTTAGTTTTAAGAACATTTTAAAACGTTTCGCGAAGCGTTTGTGGTTGAATATTACATTAAATTGTAGCTTATATTACGTATAATAACATTCCTAGCATATATGTGTTTGAAAAATTGGTCATTTTGAAATTAAAAGTGATATATATATATATATATATTTTTTTTTTTTGGGGGGGGGGGAGGTGGGTGGTGTATTTTTTAATTTTAAAGCTATTCTTAAAATTATCGTGTTACCATGACAATACTTCATGTTTGGAACTCAGCAAGGCGAGGGTTTCTGCATGCATGTATTTTCTAGTGTATATTATTAATGTAGTAAACACTACTAAACAGTGCTCATTGAAAGACATATAATTATAATATATTGTCGTTTGACTTATCTTTGATGTATGACTTTAATACCGTAGATTTTCAACAGACAGCTATAGCCTACTTTATACTTTGACATATATACCATGATCGTTCAGTTTCAGCAATGACAAGGGCAAGGGCCAATTTTATAGCCTTTTTACCAGCTTTAAGTTTTTTTAATAAAGCCTTTTATTATATAAATCAGCAATCTGGATACAGTTGACGATATTTTTAAAATCAAAAGATCTCGCTATTTCGTTGCAATTCCACATCTCATCAATAAATAAATTCTTTCGGTCCGAGTATCAGGATAGACTTTTGTACTATTAAAAATAAATAACAACTACATTGGTCGGATTCTGAGATATATATTTTCTTGTAGGCTTATTGCCACTCCGCCAACGCGTGCTTTTCTTTGGCAAGTCTATAGACTATATGAAATCTGATCCAATTTGCTTGAATTGTGAATCGATACTTAATTATAGATAGAAAGCCACATCACGGTTTAAATATTAATTTAAGTGTTCTCTTCACGATTTCTTGTTGCAAATTTAACTTTCATCACCCAAAGTTGCAATTTTTACAACGCGACAAAAACGCTCCTCTACCACACTACCGATAGCACAGTTTTAAATTAGCTAGCACCCAAAATGTGGGAGCCACGTGACCACCCGCTGCTAAGGTCTTTCCCAAAGAAAGATCTTGGCCACGAATTTGGGAAACTACTATTTCCTGTATGAGTTGTCTTCATTTTTTTAAAGCACCTAGGACACAGTCAGAAGAAAGACAAGACTACGAGAAATATTTGCAAAAAAACATTGTTTCAAATTTTAATGACAAAAGACGATTTTACAACCGCGGCCATCTTACACCCAACGATGCCTTCGACATTGCTAACGAACGTGATCTTACATTTGTGAATACCAATATTGCACCACAATGGGTCATGTTCAATGGTGGAAACTGGAACGTTGTGGAAAATGCTGTGAAAACGTATTCTAATAAATATCAACGAAAAGTTTATGTTGTCACTGGAACAGGTAACAGTTGGAGATGTTTGTCGTTTTAAGTCACTTTTAGACAGCTCGCACCATCTTGACGAGAATAAAGACACATTTATTTATTTAGAGTAGTCCTATTAGCAATAAAAACATGTCACTGTTATCAACATGCCACTGAAAAAACATGTCAATGTTATCACTTTCTTAACTGCATTTATCCAAACCCACTCTGTCAACCTTTCCCGCATGCGGGACGAAACTGCAGCACACCCAACTACTTCTTTTCACTTGAGTCTTTTCACGAACTCACGAACTCATACGTAAAAGGCTTGCTTGGACGACTACACGTTACCTAAGTCCCTTTAAATTTTGGTCGAGCGAAAGGGACATGTTGAAGATAGCTAATGGGCCGGTCAAAATCATGTGATAAATACATAAAAAATTGTGTTTTTCTTCCTTTATGTGGCTACAAACGAAATGCGTTAACATAATTATTGAATCCAGTGACTTTTTACTATTTTGTAGAATGAAATGAGGAAGGCAAACGAAGGAAACTCGGTCCTTCAACTGCGAAAACTCACTTTACAACATTATTGTTCCAAAATTTGTTTAATAATAAAATTTAGGTGTTCCTGTTAATTTTGAAATTTTACGGTTATTGCTTTGGCTGTGCTAGCTGGAGAAAATTCTAGGTTTTCAAAGTTGTATTATTTACATTACTGCATGTACCTTAACAATGCAACTTGAATTCCAAAGCGTCATTTTACATACATGCGACTAGATGTTGGCTAACTAGTTAGCGCATGAATTGCCACCCACTAGAAAGCTTCCATTTGTCCCTGCACTTTTCCCGCAATGCCTACTTTGTTGCCATAATCCCTATGCTAACACAATGCTTACAAATTAAACCGTCATTTCTACTCGGTTGAAAGAAATTTAAATGTTACGGAATGTTTAGTGCTGTCGAAAGCAAATTATTATCCGTGTTTCCTAAGAGGAATTTTATAAAAGTTTTGAAGTTTGTGCATCTAAAAATTCAAGATTTTCTAAATACTTTAAACTTTTTTACAATATCGTCATCCCGGTTTTGAAACACGTTGGGCGTGTACATTTTGAAAACACAATCATGATTGGATAGCTTGTACCTACTGGCTGATATGTGCACAATATCAGCGTAGCAACAAACTTTTCACAAATCAATAGTTATTATGAATGGATTTCTCAAACATTATTTCCGAATGATGCCTTTCAGGCGGAGAAATTATGAAACTGAACAATAGAGTCACCGTTCCAGCATTCTTCTGGAAAGCTGTATGTGATCCAGAGAAAAGAGAATCGATAGTGTTTGTTGCCAAAAATCCGTCTGGAAAAGAAGGTACCGAAAGACAAGGAGGTTGCCCCATTAAAGATATTCGAAAACAAATGACACCAGTTAACGGAATCATCAAGTGCTCCAGTTTGGATGATCTAAAAAGAAGAAAAGAAGCAAAATATTTCAAGTTACCTTCCTTTGGCGAGGCTTGTCAGCCGTCTAAGAAAGGCACGTTCTTGGATCAGTTTTTATCTGATTTCAATTAGATAAAAAAACATTTGGTAGCACATGTTGATCAGACGTTATTTTAGTATTAAATTTTATTTGGAAATATAATATAACATTGCTCTTCTATTAAATCTTCAAACGTCGAGTTCAATTTTTATGTTTTTATGTCACTTGAATAATATATTCATCATTACATAACTGGTCAGAATTATAGCGTGTTCAATGTCAGTATATAATGACATGGATAACAACTCGTCCGAAACCCAAAATATTTTTATCTTACACCAATGAAATTTAAATAACAGGAACGCTACTACCGACCGGAATTTCAAGCCAAACATAAAGGCCAGTCCAAGTGTTTTCAGGCATGCGAAGAGCTCTGATGTATTCTTGAAATCAACGCAAAATGCTTTTTAGCTGCGCTCAAAGCTTCCTATTAATAATATTTTAATTTTTTTTTCACACAAATTGTTACACTATATTGGTAAAGCCGAAGCCATAGGCTTATTTGGCAAAACTATTTAAGAGTATAGCTCGTGGCCAGTACAGAAAATTAAGTATGAATTATTCCAACTGAGTATATAATAAAAAAAGAAAAAAAAACCCAACCGGAAAAAGCATTTAAATTAGTATAGATAATTCATGCTTTATAGAAAGCAGTATATGCAGCATATATACAGCCAAATTTCAGTCCTTCTTTTTATCCCAGAGCCATTCCACATGCACATGTCAACCATTCTGAAAAGTTAAATAGTAGTTCTTTAGAATACGTCTAAAATTTTGAGTTGTCAATGATTGCCGAATTAAAAGAGGGATAGAATTCCAATTTTTCTGGCCTTGCGCACGAATGGAAAAAGAATATTTATGGGAAATGATATGCAAATCCTGTCTATGCCTTGTAAAATGATCATGGATGTTATAATTGAACTCAAATAAGCAAGAAATGGGTGAAGGAAGGAGATTGTTAACGTGTCTAAAAATAAAACACGAAAGTTGTTCAAAATTTATTCAGAAAGAACTTCCTAATAGACTTTACTTTTAGATTTTACTGGAAGACCATATTCGCTGCCTGAATTGCATGGTCTCATGAGAGAATCGGGAGGCATAAATACGCGGGTCTTGACCTCTTGACACGCGTGTTTTGGAGTCATATTTGGCTTTAAGGAAAAGATCGATAGGCAGTTTATCTCAAGATAGTGTTCCAGTTGTATTCATTTCACTATCTCAGACTTACCGTTAGGGAAGTTAGGGACTATCTTAAGATGGATGGAACATGCAAAGAGAGGAAACTCAGCCCTATGGTACAAGGGCGGATGCAGGCTCCTAGGCTGACTGAAGCCCTAGACTCGCATTTGTAGGGAGTCTGGAGTATCCTTCCACGGGAAATTGTGAACTCTTGGACTTCGGAAATGAGATTTATTGCGTTGTGAGCAAACTCTTTTGTTCCAATTCATATATCAGAGTCACAGAAATATTTGCTGCATATTTGGAAAGAGAGAGACGTAAAAAGTTGACTCTATACGCAAAAATAACATAATTTCAAAATAGCTTGTACAAATGTAATAGCAGCAATGGCAATAAGTCTCTATTCCAAAATAGTCAGTTGTGTGCTTCTTGTAGCCTTAATTTTTCTAGGTAAATTGAAAAAAAACCATTCAGGCAGAAAATTACGACAACGCAAACATGCGAATACTGCGTAACAAAGCCAAAGGGTGTATACAGTGTGCTCCCCTAGTTGCATTGGTAGACGCAGAAGGTGTTATTACGCTCTTTGTGAACGACCTTCCCCTTTTAATTTCCAATAATTTTCCATGCATATATATACAGTTATGTCCGATGAGTCATAGCATTTCAATTTAAAATAAGTGGTGTACAAAGGTATATATATATATATATATATATATATATATATATATATATATATATATATATATATATATATATATATATATATATATATATATATATATACAGGGTGTATAAAAAAAAAACTGAACAGATTTGAAATTGCTCACAATTTCGCAAAACACCTATTTGTAACCGGTTTTTTATATATATAGCTTCTTCGGGTACTTATAATGTAGAATAATGAAAAAAATTTCTCAAACTCAAATTTTTTGAACCAGGGGGGGGGGTGTCTTTTCCAATAAAATAAAAATGGCTCGCGCACAAAATTTAAAAGTTGTAATCACATTTTGAGTTAATAGATGGAAATTTTGTTGGGTTTTTAATTACTGTACAAAATTTCAGACAATCTGGTTTAGTTTAACTATTCATTTTATTCCAAAAATTCAGCCTTTCGCATGCTTAATTAATACCTTTACCTAATTTGCATATTGCTAACATATGCAAATTAGGCAAAGGCATTAATTAAGCATGCAAAAAGCTGATTTTTCAGAAAAATGTAACCTTGCGTGAATAGTTAAAGGGCTTAAACTAAAACAAATTGTCTGACCTTTCGTACAGTAATTAAAAACCCGACAAATTTTCCGTCTACTAACTCAAAATATGATTACAACTTTTCAATTTTGTGCGCGAGCCATTTTTTGTTTGTTTGAAAAGACCCCCCCCCCCTGGTTCACAAAATTTGAGTTCAAGAATTTTTTCATTATTCTACATTATAAGTACCCAAAGAAGCTATATATATAAAAACCATACCTAATTTTAAGAATTTTTTATCACTGCACATTTTATGCCAAAAATTTCCGAATGACTAAGAAAATTTCCGAACATTCGGAAATTTTTGGCGAATTGTTTTCAGGTTAGCAAATAAATGTTTAAAATTTAAAATGGTTAAAAATGTATATTTTTAAAACTGAAATAATCGGCCGAAAGAGCGAAGATAAAAACATAAACAAAATATAGAAAAAATAATGAAAATATTCGAAAAGCAAAGTCTGTGAATTCAGACCTTGTGTATATAATAAAACAGTTATTCCGCTCACTCTCGTCGAATATGAGCGAAAGCTGATTCGGCGCTACGCGCCTCATCGGCTATCAGCTCATATTCGACTCGAGTTCGTAGAATAACTGTTAAATATAAATATATATATATATATATATATATATATATATATATATATATATATATATATATATATATATGTATACAGTGCTCAATACCATATAGATAGAGCGTAATATAGTTTTTCGTTTTACCTCAAAAAACCACAACAGTCTGTTTCATCCGTATAGGAATCATCAGGTGGTGAATAATTTCGAAACTGTAGGTTGCTTTTATGCTATCGAAAGAATGTGCGGAATGCGTGTAGGCGAAACAATGCTTAGGTGAAACAATGCATGCTTGGGTCATTAGGTTTTGTTAACAACCTTGTTTACTCGAAACCGGTTTTTGAGACGACATTTGCCGAAAATTTCGCTTCTTTTATTGAGTAAATTGTCTTTGTTTATATCTTTCAAAATGCAAAATTTTTCTTCCAAACATAAATTGCAGCGTTTTAATCCCCCTGTGTTCGAAATAGCGTGTTTTAAAATTGACCATTTGATGGTATAATCGTGATTGTTTTCTTTTAATTTCCAAATATGTTTCGAAAGTTCCGTTTTGTTTGAGTCTTTTTTATGACGAAAAGATGAAGTGTGGTTAGCGTAACGTTCCTTAAATGTAGTCGCTGTCATACCAATGTAGTGTTTAGTGTCGTTCGTGTTGTTCGTTGTGACTGTGGCTTTGTAACTAATGTTGTTAGTCATACATTGTTTCGGTAGTGGGCAAGTGTTTTTGTTGTCGCAGTTACAGTTGTCAGTTTCCGTATTCTGTGATTGACTGTTCCTAATTATATGTGTGTTGTGTTTGGTGATTATAGACTTAACATTGTTCATGCAACTGTAGCTTACTTTTAAAGTGTTTCTGTTAAAAATCTTGTGTAGTTTGTGCTGTAGCGGGAAGTGTTTGTCAATTAAACTTAAGAATTCCCGTCCTATGTTCGTGTTAACACTCTTACTAAATGGTGGGTTGAACCAAATTATGTTGCGTTGCCTATTCCTACGTGTCCGTTGCGGTGCATTCTATATATATATATATATATATATATATATATATATATATATATATATATATATATATATATATATATATATATATATATATATAGTTTTTCGTTTTACCTCAAAAAACCACAACAGTCTGTTTCATCCGTATAGGACCACCTGATGATTCCTATACGGATGAAACAGACTGTTGTGGTTTTTTGAGGTAAAACGAAGAACTATATTACGCTCTATCTATATGGTATTGAGCACTGTTTGTGTTTCGTAAACCAAAATCTTAAGCTATATATATATATATATATATATATATATATATATATATATATATATATATATATATATATATATATATATATAAACATATATATATAAACATATATATATATATATATATATATATATATATATATATATATATATATATATATATATATATATATATATATATATATATATATATAGGTTATCATATCAGGGATGAGGTGATATCAGTTTTATCGCTCGAGGGATGATATCACAATTGTCACGAGCGAGCGCAGCGAGCGAGGGACAATTGTGATATCGTCCCGAGAGCGATAAAACTGATATCACCGAATCCCGAGTACGATAACTTATTTATTATATACTTGTACCTTTATCAGGGTTTGACACCCAAAAGTAAACAGTTTTGAAAAAATAGGATCATTTTAAAATTCAAAACAATTCATCATTTACTGAACAAATATGATTTTAGAAAATAAATAGACCATTCATATAAATAATATACAATTTAAGTCTTTCATTTTGTATTATCGTTCTTGTTTTCTTCGATAAATTGTCGACATCAACCAACACGAACCTCGAGTCGGCCATCTTTGTTTTGACAAGGCGCGAAATTTAGCGGGACAAAAAACGATATCCGGGACAAAAAACGATATCCGGGACAAAAAACGATATCAGGGACGATATCGTTTTTATGTCCCGCTGCTTCCTACCTGATAAAGGTACAAGTATGTGATAAACTGTTTTATCTATAACCTTCTTCCTTAATACAATATATCTTACTTTTTGAGATTGTATGTCAGTGGATTGTATGCCTGGAAAATACACATTTAATGTCCTCACCGTTTAATAAATATATATATATTGAGATATTTAATATAACGACACGCATAAGAACACAAGGTTTGTGGGGTTATGGAAGTGTGGGACAACTGCTCTATATACTGTATTTTTTATCTGCGAAGAGCTGGGTGCTGAGCGGTTCCCAGAGCATATACTCGTATTGAAAAGCTGGATCTTGGGGAAAGTCGATTAGGACATATACTGATTTGCAGCTGGGTCCTAATCTGCCCAAGACATATACTTTTACGGATTTAAAGCTGGGTCCTGAGTCGGCTAGAACATATACTCCATTTAGAGCTGGATCCTAGCCTGCCCTGCAAGACATATACTCTGAGCTGGGCCCTGGGAAAAAATGATCAGGGAAATATTTCTTAGAACACTGATCTGGCTCAGCACATATACTCATATGCAGAAATAGAGTGATTTTTGTAAATGGGAATTGGCTGTATGCCAGGTTGCCTAATTTCGTAAAGAAAACGTGAGGTCTATGGTAAAATTGCGACCTCATACTAGAGCAATTGCCTCAAACACTTCATTCTTTATTTATTATTTTATTAAATACATAATAACATTGATATAACAGTCTAGTGAATGTCGATAAGCGTTTAATATCCAACGAAGATAATATTTATATATAGATCTAAATATAGTTCAATGTTCCCGAGAATTCAATATCACTAGGCGGGCCCATAACATACCGTAATTACTTCCAAGTACCATCTTGTACCATCTCGTTACATCAGGGAAAAGGCTGGAGCATGGGGTGGTTGGTGGGTGACTCTTTAAATCAGTCTTTACAGCTCGCAATCCAAGTAAGAATGATATAGGCAGATAAAGCTAACTCGGATATCTGCCCATGTTTCACTATAGTTTCATTGTTATAGTTATGAATAGGTCAAACATAGTGGTTTGGACAATAATTAATAAACGATACTGGGTGCAGTAGCCTACGGGTTTGGCAAGCAAATAATGAAAGTCTGTGATAGAGGCTTCCTTTGTTTAGACAATAGTAGCTTTCGAGTTGGCTTAACATAGACATTTTAAATCTATAATTTTTAGGTCTAGCGCATTGAGTATCGTCCATTAACAATAATTTGTACTCGTAAAAATTACCATTTAATGTCCTCACCGTTTAATAAATATATATATATTGAGATATTTAATATAACGACACGCATAAGAACACAAGGTTTGTGGGGTTATGGAAGTGTGGGACAACTGCTCTATATACTGTATTTTTTATCTGCGAAGAGCTGGATGCTGAGCGGTTCCCAGGGCATATACTCGTATTGAAAAGCTGGATCTTGGGGAAAGTCGATTAGGACATATACTGATTTGCAGCTGGGTCCTAATCTGCCCAAGACATATACTTTTACGGATTTTGAGCTGGGTCCTGAGTCGGCTAGAACATATACTCCATTTAGAGCTGGATCCTAGCCTGCCCTGCAAGACATATACTCTGAGATGGGCCCTGGGAAAAAATGATCAGGGAAATATTTCTTAGAACACTGATCTGGCTCAGCACATATACTCATATGCAGAAATAGAGTGATTTTTGTAAATGGGAATTGGCTGTATGCCAGGTTGCCAAATTCCGTAAAGAAAACGTGAGGTCTATGGTAAAATTGCGACCTCATACTAGAGCAATTGCCTCCACAATCACACAACGATAGTGTGTGTGATCCCCATAGACCGACAAACAACGATCGAGTGTTTATCTCACTCTGCAATCAATCGTTTTGAAACGCCTGTAAGGACATTGATTGGCGTGCGAATATATCTGAGGTAACAATCGGAAGACCATCTTCCTAGCGTTTGAATAAGCCAATGAGGCAAACCTTGGGACGCAGCTGTGGTAGCCGCTCCGATTCTAAAGCTGTGGCCTGCATAGTGAGCAGGGTGATGACCACCTTGGGCCAAAAGTGTTCGTAGTTCCTTAGTAAATTGGCTACGTGATAAAGGAACACCGTTTGAGTAGCAAAACAATGGTCCCGCATAGTCCGTTGGCGCACGTGAAAGGTAGGTTTGAAGGGCCCTTACTGGACAATACATACCAGAATTGCTGCCAATGGTTATTGTGGCTGAGGCTCGAAACGGATCGGTTTTTGACGCTTTAATTCGTAGTTGCAGAAAAACCTCGTTATCCCCACGTTTTTGTTATGAAAACTTACATCTGATCGGCAAAGGTTTGTTGAAGAATTATAAGGACCGGAGCAAGTCATTTCAGCAATCCGCAAAAACCCGAAAAATGCTATGGAATTAATAGCCTGAGTGTAATATGCGGTGAAACAATTTCAAATGGTCTAATGTAATTGGTAGGCGTGTTCTTGTAGACACTCCTTTTACTCGCTTTATACCTCGCAAAATATAGTGTAGGCGTTGAAATTTGGTGATTTGAAGGTCGTAGCCGTTAACCAAATGCATATGGCGTACTGCTACGAGATAGACTTTGATGGTGTCTGGATTTACCGTCTTAGCGAGAAAAACAGCAAAGTAAATCAGAATGTTTTCCGTTGTTGGCAGAAGAGGCACATACTTATGTAAATGGAATTGATAGTAGAAATTCGTGAACTGTTTTTCGCCACTGCTATAAGTTTTAATCGTACCTTTAGCTAACGAAGCAAGTTGATAACGACGTAAGTCAGCGTCTAGAGACGAGAAAGTTCCTCTGGTAGAGGTTGAGGTTGATGGTCTGCATGCGGTTCTAGCCGCCGAAATCTGGTTTGCTGAAAACGGGAGATAGAATCAGCAATGTCATTATAATGACCAGGCACATGTAAGGCTTTGAAATAAAAGTTATATTTCAGTGTTTGTAAGGTTAAAGGACGCACTAAGTCCATAATACGAGGGCTTTTTGAACGTTTGGAATTGATTATGGAAACCACTGCCTGGTTATCGCAGTAAAACACAATTCGTTTTTGAGCCCATAAAGGTGCCCATATGTAGGAGGCTACCACAATAGCATAGAGCTCTTGTCAATCAATGCTGATATTTTTTGTGGTAAGTGTTTGGTGAGGCAACCATTTACCCTGAAACCACTGGTTGCGAAAAATTCCCCCAAAACCAAGGGTCCCCAAGGCATCCGTATAGAGAGAAAGGTTTGTAGAATTTTCCCAGAAAGAGTTGAGAAATAGACTTGTCCCATTCCAGTCTTTAAGAAAAAGTTGCCACATTTTTACGTCTTCGCGAAAACCATTCGTCAAGCGAATGTGATGATGTGGTTTGGAGACACCCCGTGTTAGATTTATGATACGTTGCAGAAAAGCTCGACCCGGGGCAATTACTTTGCATGCGAAATTTAATGTGCCAATTAGTGATTGGAGCTCTTGGAGTGTATACAGCTGACTTTTTTGTGTGCCACGAATTTAAATCAACAAATAGACGGTTCAGTTTATCGGATGGAAGACGAGCCTCCATCTTTTGTGAGTCAATGATAATGCCTAGAAATTCTATAATGAGACTGGGTCCTTCAGTTTTATGCTCGGCAATAGGAACACCTAACGTGCGGAATGTTAACAACATGCTAGAAAGGCTAGTTTGGCATGCTTGAGAAGGTAGCCCAGTTTGGGCCGGTGGTTCCATGATGAGAAAATCGTCTAGAATGTGCCCAACATAGCTTATAAAACACTTGTTGAGTAAAATCCATTCAAGTGCATCCGAAAGTTGATTGAAAATATACGGCGCACTACGCAGACCAAATGGCAACACTTTGTCAAAATAATAGGACTTGTTCCAATATATGCCTAATAACTCCCAGTCGTCAGGATGAACAGGGAATTGACGAAAAGCAGATTCTATGTCAGTTTTAGCTAGATAAGTGCCTCTGCCTAATCGGATTAAAGCCGCAATTGCGTCGTCGATTTTTATGTAATTTCCTGGTTACATGTGCAATATATTGAACATTATACCAAAAATATGCATATATATTACTATAAAAATGTATGTTTTCGATTGTATTCTGCGAGGTGGCGTTGCGTTCGGCAAAGTGAAACGTGGTACGGTTCGATTTCGTTTTGGAACAATTAAGATCCAACTTTCCCCCTACATTTTAATTCTCAAATTGTTTATTAGACGTTTACTGGTTGGGGTTAGAGAAGGTATGGTGGCCCAGGCGTGCCATAGAAAATTTTGATATCTTTTTATTTTTTTAAATATATATTTTTTAAAATATTTTTATTTTATTTTTTTCCAAACAAAATTTATTTCTAAACTCTGTTTTTTTTTAATTGATAAAGTATTTTAATGCAAAATATTTTATACCTTTGGCCCAGGTGTGCCATTAAAAAAAAACCAAAAAAAAACGTCGTGGCCCAGGCGTGCCAACGGCCCATGCATGCCAATTACTGCTGTCCATATAATTTTGAGATCGCAGGCTCGCAGGGCACCATAAACAAAATGGCCGATCAGGGATGGCAAGAAGATATTGAGCTTATTAAAAGACGACTTACAAAAATATGTTGAAAGTAACTTACAAAGAAAAGAAATTTTAGATTTTGTAAAGGAAAGTATCCACTATATGCTTGGAGTCTGCGAACTTTTTGCCGTCGATTAAAACACTTTGGCATTTCATACATAGACTACAATACTACTTTGCACCATGTTGAAGAGGCCGTACGTGAGGAAATGGATGGCCGATTGCTGGGTTACCCAGGGCTTTCAAAATAAGCCGGCGGCCCTCCGCCGGTTACTTTGTTTAGTACTTGAATGATCAATCCTGCTCTCCTTCCTCCAACTCTAAGCTTTCAAACAAAGTTATTGTTCCTCAACTTGGTCTATACAATCTAGCCTGGTTATTTTCGAAAACGGCGTACTATTTCGTAAAATCGATTTAGTTATTTGCCATCTTAAATCTTGAAGTTATCTTGTTGAAGAATGAAAGTAGTGATGCATTATAATTTGGCTACAGAGTTCAGTTGTGTTGCTATCTAATCAATATACACTAGTTTAAGACCCCCTAGACCACCCCCTCCCAACAGCCGCCTACTTTATCAAAATAGACACCTACTCAGAATAATGCTGGAAGCCCTGGGGTTACCGTGCTTTGCACAAAAAAAGTAGGGGAAGTACATGGCCTTAAGGTTCCACGGAATCTAGTTTATGCAATGATGGAGAATGTTGACTCTTCAGGACTGGAAGAAAGATTTTAATAAATAAATAAATTTAATCACTTATAATGCGCTTTTTACATGAAAATGATCAAAAGCGCAGTACAGTCAGGGCCGCCCAGAGGTTGGCGGGGGCCCGGGGCAAATTTTTTTTTAGGGGCCCCTATATAAAAAAATTTTCCTGGAAAAATTTTTTTCCGGAGAACAACCTCCC